TGGTAGCCCAGGCTGGCCTCGAACTCACAGAGATCCACCTGGCTCTGCCTCCCGAGTGCTGGGATTAAAGGCGTGCGCCACCACCGCCCAGCTGAGAAACCCTGTCTTGAAAAACCAAAATAAATAAACAAAACACTAGAACCTCAGTTCCTCAGCATGGCTATTAAAAAAAAAAAAAAAAGCAAGCCTTGGACACCCTGATAGAAATGTTAACAGTAATTATGCCTTTTATAAACATTTTTTCTATATTTTCAGAAATGTCTGCATTTGCTAGGGATGTAGCTCAGTGGTAGAGTCCTTGCCTGCCCAGCATGAGCAAGGTCCTATGTTTAATACCTAGTACAAGGAAAAGGAGGGGAAAGGTTCAGTTTCATCCAGGTATAGTGACTCAGGCCTATAATTCCAGCACCCTGGAGACAGATGCAGAAGAAATGCATCTGGCTAGCCTGGTCTACATAGGGAGTTCCAGGCTAGGGCTGCATGATGAAACCCCATCGCAACACAAACACATGGGGTGAGGTGGGGTGCTTATGTGGTATACACACCTTTAATCCCAGCACTCAGGAGGCAGGGGCAGGCAGGTCTCTGAGAGTTTGAGGCCAGCCTGGGCTACAGAGTTCCAGGTACAGGGAGACCTTGTTTCAAAAAGAAAAGAAAGAAATGCTGATAGGATGGTTTAGTGGGTAAAGATGTTTGCTGGCAAGCCTGAAGGTCTGAATTCAATCCCTGGAATGCATATGGCAGAAGAAGAAAATTGACTTTCCAAGTTATCTTGTCCTCTGACCTCTACATTTGTGCTATGGCACACAAATGTCCCCATATATACACATGAACAAAATAACGTAAGTGTAATAACAATATTTATACTGATCTTTGTGCATGTCCATAATCCCACAAGCAGGGGTTGAGGCAGGAGGATGGGTACAACTTCCAGCCCATGCCCCCCCCCCACAGACACACACAACTACATGATGAAAATCTGTACCCTGGACCTAGGTGGTGCAGCTAAGTGGGGTAGAGAAGTTACAGTAGAATGCGTTCTTGTCTTCCCTAGTCTAAGGTCTTCCTCTCTATTTCCCAAGCCACCTAGAAAACAGAGCCTATGATGAGGCGAGTATGCTCAAAACACATATGAAACCCCCACAGAACTAAAAACAAAAGAAACGACAAACTAACACAAGAGTTTCAAAAGAGGAAGAAAAGAAAAGCAGAGCCTAGGAGCTAGAGAGCTCCTCAGTGGTTAGGAGAGCTTGCTGTGCAAGCATAAGGACCCACATTTGGATCCCAGCATCCACATAACAAGCCCAGTACTGTCTCTCGTAGCCACAGCACTGTAGGGTGACAGAGGGAGGAGGATCACTGGGACTTGCTGGCTGCCAGCCAAGCCAAAAGCACTACTAGCTCCAGATTCAGAAAGAGATCTGCCTCAAAGGAATAAGGCAGATGGAGATAAAAACGATACTTGATGTCCTCATGCAAATCTCTAGAATGCACACACAAACAAACTACACCGCCCCCTCTCTCACACACACACACACTTGGGGCTGGAGATATTCTTGCTGCTCTTGCAGCGTTCAGTCCCCAGCTCCCATGTCTGACAACTCACCACCACCTGTAACTCTAGCTCTATGTGATCAGACATCTTCTGGCTCCACAAAACACTGCATTCTCACATGCACACACACAGAGCTTAATCCTTGGGACCCACTTGGCAGAAGGAGAGGACCAACTCCAGCAAGTCCTCCTCTGACTGCCACATGCACCCCATAGCATGTGTGTCTACACCTATGTATGTACACATACACTACACTACAATAAACATGCAAATAAATACTGATATTTTATTTGGGAGGTTTAAAAGCCATGGTATAGGAATGAGAAGATGCAATTGGTTCAGGGACATGCAAAGTGACACATTTCCCAGCTGGCCACTGCCTCATGAGTAGCCTTGAAGAGGAAGGCATATTCACCAGCTACTTGGGCTCTCTCTCTACAGGCTGTTGTTTGGCGGGGGAGGGGGGACAATGCCATGTAATGCTTCATGAGAAGGAGAGAAAGCAGAATTTCTCAGCCTGGCTCTCTGACTCCCATCTGTCATTCATCAAGTTTTTACCTGTGAGTATTAGCTTTCCCACAAGGCTTGGTTGCTGTGGCTACATGGGATGCCAGACCCTATGTCCTGTGGTAGGGAGGAAGTCTGGTGGGAAGAGACAAACTCTGGACATGTGGACAGTTAATGCCAGGGACACTCTGATGGCACATATGTCCTAAATAGTTCAGTATTGTTTTTCTTATTTTTCCAGAAGAAATAAAGCAAGGTTTTCAAAGTCCTTTTCTAAGATCATATTGGTATCAAATGGTAACTTCCAGATTAACCTAGCACTGAGAAATGTGGAAGCCCAGGTTAAGAATATGGATTTTTATGGAGCAGGATTTGAATCTGGGGAGTGACAACAGGTAAGAGGTTTTTAAAGAAAGCCCTCTGTCTCTGTTCTCTGTAGCACAAATCCTAATTTGTCTTATTAATAAAAACCTGGAGTCAGATATCAGGGTGAAAGCTGAAAGATCAGAGAAGCAGAGCAACCAGCCACTAGTTCTTACCGCTATGAAATCCTCAGCCAAAAAGAACAGTGAGCTCCTGTCACCTCCCACTTTATATTCCTCTCTGCACAGCCATATCACTTCCTGTATCCACTTCCCTAGTGCTGGGATTAAAGGCAGGAGATCCCAAGTACTGGGATCAAAGGTATGAGCCACCACTGCCTGGCTCTGCTTCTCTTTTAGACTGGATCAATCTTGTGTAGCCCAGGGTGGCCTTGAACTCAGAGATCTATCTGCCTCTGCCTCCGGAGTGCTGGGATTGAAAGTGTGCCAGCATTGCCTGGTCTCTATGGCTAACTAGTGACTGGCTTTGCCCTCTGATCTTCAGGCAAGCTTTATTTGTTAGAGTATACACAAAATATCACCCACAGTTCTCCATTTTCTCAGCTGGCTAAATATCAGAAGTGGTTGGTCCCTGAGAGGCAGGACACTGGAGACAGCACTTATGAGGAATCTCTGATGGAGTTGACAGCTTCATTTGAGCTTTATCATGCCTTCCTAATTTTCCTGTATCCA